AGAAGAGGAGAATGAGGAGGAGAGAAGAGAGAGGGAGAGAATGAGAGAGAGAGAGAGAGAGAGAGAGAGAGAGAGAGAGAGAGAGAGAGAGAGCAGAGAGAGAGAGAGAGAGAGAGAGGACGGGGGAGAGAATGAGAGAGAGAGAGACGAGAGAGAGAGAGAGAGAGAGAGGAGGAGAGAAGAGAGAGAGAGAGAGAGAGATGAGAGAGGAGAGGAGAGAGAGAGAGGAGAGAGAGAGAGAGGGGGGGGAGAGAGGTGGAGAGGGGAGAGGAGAGAAAGAGAGAGAGAGAGAGTGGAAATGAAAAGAGTGAGATTTAGCTAGAGAGTAAGAGTGAGTGAGTGAGAAACAATGAGAAAGTGAGTATGAGTATGTGTGGCTGCATAAATAAAACATATTCTCCTGTTTGTATATTTATTTATTCATTTTTATAGCATGAGGCCAAGGTGATTATGTAATGCCTAAGATGATCTAGATTCCATGACACATAATGACTGATAATTTCAATCAGATAATATATCTTCTGCTTCTCCATAACAGCAGCATGATAGCATCTCTAACAAAGAACATCCATCTAACCCAAAATGGTTCCCCAGAAAGGTAACAGAAATAAAGCTATAACTTCCATACTGTAGAGTGTGTACTAGTCAAGATCATGAAGTCCCTTATTAACTTGAACTGGGAATAATAGGCTTGAGCTCTTCATTATATGCATTAAAAAGGTACAGGGATGGATTTTTGCTACATCCCACTGAAACAGCAGCAAATGCTCTTAAGAGGATTAAGTTCGTAATGTATCATGTATACAATGTTACACATAAATATTTTCAAAGTGGTTTTGATCTCCATTAAGAATGTTTTATCCCATAAACATGAACTGGGTTAAGTCCTGTGTTTTGTAGCCTCCGTGGAGCTAGTAAGATTGAGAGTGAAAACACATGAGCGTGAATGCTGTTATTGTCGCCTGTAATTAACATTGTCATATGGGAAACAACTCACACACTTAACAGGCAATATATTTCAAAAAGCCATGATTAGACAAAACCTATCAATGGCTATCATTGGGAGGGTGGGGATTGGGGGACCATATGTGAAACAGGGTCAACGAATTATCTTTTTTCTCTATGCAAGACATTTCAAATATAATATTTTAATAATAAATATCAACAAGACAAACGTATGGAAGCAGCATTCATAAAACATAAAAGAGTAAAGATATGGCAACAAAAATAAAGCTCAATCATACCTTATAATTGTACATAAAATTTGATTTTGGCATCACTATATTTACAATATAAAATTATAATAGATACAAAATACTCTCTCAAGAGTACAGAATAATGATACTTGGTTTGGGAGATGTAACCTTGGAAAATTTGGATCTACTTTTAGATAAGAAAAAATAAAAATAAAAATGCATCATGAGCAGCATTTATCTACAGTAATAAAATAAATAATTCAATCCATTTTTTTTCTTTTTTTTTTTTTTTACTTGGTATATTATGATACAGAAAATTTACACCAAGAACCCTTCGCAAGGCCTCACACCCCTGTAAGGCTGAGTTTATTTAGTTGTCCAGTTAAATCAACAATATTAATGATAAATATGAAGCAGAAATATTAGCTGTCACGTTCATATTAGTTGTTTCCATAACTGGACAGAGATAAATGAAGAGTAAACAAGATTGACATGAATATGGTAGTAATAAGAAAATTATTCAAAATTAGACCAAAATATACAAAAGTAATATATATATATATAATAAACCTTCCTCCCTTTGAAGTTACAACAGTGTGTCTACTGAATATGTCGCTTGCCATCGTTGAAGAGCAATTAGCAAAGTGCTCTGGTTTGATTTCTAACTCAAGTTATTCCTCGACTAATATGTCCTTTTCCAGCATTTAACTATGAAATTCAGGTCTGACATCTGCATCAACCCAAGCCATCACAATCATTAGAAAAGATATTAAGCATCTACAACCTTGCAAAAGAAAAGAAAACAAGAAATAAGCAAAGAATAAATAAAACAGAAACACTGCAGAAGCCTCTGACATGCCAGGACAAAGTCTATTATACTGTTTTTTTTTTCCTTTAACCAAGACTGGATACATGAGTGAAAAGCAGAGTAGAAGAAGTTCCTTACAAATCACATAAACCCCCTGGACTCGAGCTCTCAGTAACAGCCAGATTTGTTTCTTCAAATGTTATGAATCTCAATTTGATGTAACATCAGTATTGAAAATGACAACAGTTTCCCTAACAGTATGAAAATGTCAATGGCAAAAAAAAGGAAAAATAAAGAGAATATATACATATAAACAAATGATAGTTGAAGAAAGACAAGCAACAACGTCAATAGTACCAATCATAAAAATAATTACATCAATTTCTGGTATACACTTCCACAATTTGATTATTCAGAGAGTATCAAGCAATGAATGTCTTTTTCTAAATGTGTTTTCTATATCCAATAAAAAGTGAAGGGGGGGATATATCTACAAGAAATAATTTGCTATCACAAAAGCTCCTCACTGCCCAAAGGAGAGCTCACTCTTCTGTACCATATAAGGAAGTGTGAGAACTATTAACAAGGAAAGGAAAGAGGGGGATGCACCCTCACCAGCAAATATACCGAAGTATTCTTTCTGTAAACAAAGACTTGACTGTTGGATCTGCAAAACTTTGCTATAATCATGATACAGAAAACATTGCTACTCCAGTAATGGCAACTCTTCTGCTTGTGTAAGGGTGTGAATATGAGGGTTGTCAGAACGCATAAATATGGTGACCCCAGACTGGTATGCTGCTGGAATGGCAACATGAGAAGTCAAGTGCCGACGACCTTGAACCACAGGAGGTGCAGCTTGTTCTTTTAACACACCTACTACTTGACCTGCAAACAGAATGAACATGATTAATGACAAGCATACATCCAATGTAAGTTAGATTCTAATGACCAGTGTCTTTTCAAAATCTCTTAATCATCCTAGGGAACTCTCAAAGAGATCTTACATATTAGTGAAGTCTTTAAATGCTGGGCAAAAATAGTTACTGTAGCTGGAACAAAAACCTTTGAGAATGATCACCACCTCTGTCTCAACAGAAGAGATTGCAGATGGACAAAATGTATTCATAGGAGCCATTTCTCTCTGTATGAATTGCTTAATCCTCCTAGTTTTTATCATCTGAATCTTAGTTTTACATTCATATCTCAAAAGTTCCCTGTTTTAGTTGATACTGATACTGATACTGATAATGATAATGATAATAATAATGATAATATTAACTCCTATGATCCGGCTTCTGCATTATTCTCATTGTTAAACAGATTTGGAACATAATGTACGTAAGCTGTGACTGAAAGAGCGCCACCTCCAGGGAGAATGCCACTTCCATGCTCAGCAACGTATTCCTGGCTGCTGTGACCGATAAGTAGGATGTTATGGAAAATTGAAAATTATAAAATAATCTGATATATGACACAAATAACCAAATGTTACATTGAGTTACTATATAGAGAGATGATATGGAGTCTGTACAAGGAAAACAATTTATTAACTTCTGAATATAGCCAATCAAAAGGAAAATATGTTAATTGGAAAATGGCAAAACAGCTAAAAAAGTTTACGCAAAATAACTCTACAAAGGAGAGGCACAGAGTCTTGTCACTGCTCACAAGTGTTCATAAGAGCGAGCATGAGTGTGCACAAGGGCTATCCCCTCATGGTGTGAACACAGCCACATGGTCAGTGAGATTGCATGACTATGCAGTATGTTATAAGGTGAACATGTTGGACCTGGGTGCTTTGCTGTTATATATATGGTCCAAAATCTGGACATTAGGCTTACTTGAGTGGCCACTACAAGGGTCAATCCACACAAACACTCATGGGTGGTGTCGACTCCTTGCCTCCCCTTTGCGATGTTATTTTCTCTCTCTCTCTCTCTCTTCTCTCTCTCCTCTCTCTCTCTCTCTCTCTCTCTCTCTCTCTCTCTCTCTCTCCTCTCTCTCTTCTCTCTCTCTTTTTTTTTTTAAATATCTTTTTGCTATTTTCCAATGTCTAAATTTGTCATTTCATATGCTGTAACCAAAGTGTTTTCCTTACACAGACTCTTTATTATGTCTCTGGTACTTCTTAACCCATCAGCGACGGGTAAATTTTTTGTCAAGTTGACGTATGCACCGGCTTGTTGGCGCGCACTGGCAGTTTCCCCTGTTTGCGCCCGGCTCGATCGGTAGTTTGCGAGCGACATATAGGACCTAAAAGCTTTTATTTTTCTAAAATTTATAAAAATATTAAAATTTTGAAGGTTTACCTTCACTTTAGGTGCCATTGCCTAAAATCTTTACCATATAAATGAAGCCGCTACTAGTGGAGAAAAACAACCTCTGTCCGACGAGCCAGTAGCACGGGAATGGGCATGGCATGATGCTCCCAGCGTTTGGTCCACAACAGCCATGGCATGTACGTACGTGACACCCGGCGCCAATGGGTTAAGGGGACTGTCCCAGGTGGAGGGGGGGGAAGGGGGTCAAATTGAGTTAGCTAGCATATAGTATAGGTACATGGATGAGGAAACTACCAAACGAGTATTAACCGCCTGCTATGGCTCGTTGTCTTGCAGCCGGCGCGAGAGTCCCTCAGCACCCGGAGAGGTACGTCGCTATGAGCGCCCAGGTACACCTATGTGGACTTTTGCTTGCGGCAATCGTGCATAAGGCATTTAATTATGACATTGCGCATAGATATGAGTTCGTGAATGTTCAAGGAACACTTTTATACCAATATCAGGAAAAAATTATATCACCGTGATTTATGACGAAATATTTTGTGAAATATATCTAAAAAAAAAATGTATGTTTTGTGTCCTTTTACACACGAAATATGCTTTGATCGAGACTCCCTGGTAATATGTTTTAGTTTACGTGGTAATATATACGTATATCACATACGAAGCACTAATGTTTAAAAATAGCCTTATAAGGAAGGATTGAAATATTTCCGTTACATTTCGCTCAACGGTCGGTACATCACAGCAGGGGGCAATTTGAATTGATTTGAAATTGGTAGTTACCGTTGTAAAGACCAATTCAATACGAATGTTACCTAAATGTCGGATTTTTAAACTTCGGATGTATAAGCGAGATACAGATTATTTCATGTTGAAGATGATAGTACTCAGTAATACCTGCTCTGAAATAAAAACTATATGGAATTTTGAGCTCGGTTGTATGCGTAGTCTTCGTCTGGCGTTCAAAAAGCTATCGCATCCGTTTCGTGCGTTCCGATAAAAATGAATATGTTTAGACGTTACCGTAAGTCTTAGGCACCATAAATTGGCAAATATCCCACAACACCTAGGCGTCTGCATGATTTTATGCACTTCTTAGTAAAGATAATGGGTGCAAATGGCTAATCATAAACTCTACACTTGTTCTCCTTTGCAATCTGTTAATATTGACAATTATCAAAGAAAATGGTATGAGAGGATAACTAATATATTTTATTATTTAGATATGAAAGTCAATGTAGGCCTACTAAATGATGATGATTAATCTTTTTAACTTTATGTGCGTGCGTTCACGTACATATGATCCTCCTCGAAAAATACTATCTCCTCCTCCTAACATGTTATTTGTGTCATTATCTATTTATTTATTTTATTTATTTATCTTATTTTGTTATTATTATTTTTTTGTAAAATTTAATTTTCTTCAATACATCCTACACCACCAGCCTGGGTGGGCAGGAATAGGATCCTGAATGGGATCACTGGAGCTCGTGCTCTCCAGCCATGGCTCACAGATGGTACATTTCACACGGATTTACTAAATGCTCACTGAGTCTATTCACCCTCCAAGACTGGTGAGTCATTCCTGTCACTCTGGCCTTCAGCCCAAAGTCTCATGAAGGTCATCAGCCAAATTTTCATATGGCAGCACATTCAAGTCACCTGGCCCTTAAGCAAAATATTTTCATGATGTGATAGTCATGTCAGCCAAATCCAAGGGGATAATAATAATAGTAATAATAATAATGATAATAATAATAGTAATAATAATAATAATAATAATAATAATAATAATAATAATAATAATAATAATAACAATAATAATCATTATAATAATAATAACAATAATAATCATTTTAATAATAATAATAATAATAAAAAAATAATAACAATAATAATAATCATTATAATAATAACAATAATAATAATAATAATAATAATAATAATAATAACAACAACAATTATAATAATAATTATAAAAATAATAATAATAATAAAATGATAATAATAGTAATAAAATAATGATTATAATAATAATAATAATAATAATAATAATAATAATAATAATAATAATTATAATAACAATAATAATAATAACAATAATAATAATAACAACAATAATAATGACAATAATAATAATAACAATAATAATGCCAACAATAATGATAACAACACATTAACAAAACAACAATACCAAGAATTAATGATTATGATTATAACAATATTACTACTAATAATAACTAAAAGCACTCACAGTGTATATCTTTGCCAAGGCAATAGGCTCTCTAATACAACAAAAATATTCATACTTGAAGAATTTCATAGAAATCACCTCTTTCTCAAGTACACTGGTGATGCTAATGAATACTTCAAAAAACTCCTGGTTATGGATCATGATCCAGATCCAGGATCTGATCTTAACTTTGAGTTATATTGCAGAGGATCCGGATCACAACCAAAATTTAATGGTATCTAAGTTGGACTAAGAGACACCGTATCTAAGTTGGACTAAGAGACACCTCTAAAAATCTAATAAAAATCTGCTCAAAACTTTTCAGCTATCCTGCTAACTAACTAACCAATGCAACCAAAAACATTACCTCCTCGTCAAAGGTAATAATAACAATAATTAATGATGATGATGAACATGAAGATGATGACGATAATGATGATGGCAACATTAATGATAGTAGCGAAAACAACAACAAAAATAATAACAGGTCTTTGGATAAAACCTGACACTTAGATTGTAAAACAGTATATTGAAGGACATAAACATATAAAACAATTACAATAACAGGATGCAAAGTACAAATGTTATATTAGTGAAAACTCTTTATACAAACTTTACCTAGAACATTCATCTCTCTCCATCTTGGGTCAGGCTGTTGGGTCAATCTGATGAGCTTATCACCTTGGCCCCATCTATTTACAACGTCAGCCCTGCGAACCAACAACACAGAGTCTGTGCAGAGCTGGTCTCCAAGTAGGGAATCAGAGACACATTCTAATGGGTTGGTGAGGTAGATACCCTGAGGACCAACACCAAATATCATCTGATGGTGCCAGGCATCGGGTACTGTCTGGCCTGGAGCAACACCCACTTGCAAATTTAACGTGGCCAAAGGCACTCCACCTGGAAAGTCAAAAGCTTTTTACTTCTGTAATATTTAATTTATGAAAATCTATTTACTTTAAAAATAAGTAAAAAAATAAAAATATGGAAAAACACATTGGTGTAATTCTAAACTACTTAACATTATGTTAGTAAGTGAAAAGATGATGAAGAAAGTGAGAAAGGTGATAAATATGCTTTCTCCTTACTTAAAATCATATCAATTTACATCATCACCTGTTACTTCTGCAGAGAGTTCTTACAACTAATACTGAAAATATAACCCTGTGTATACTCTATTATTTAAGATCATCATTGTCTTATTAGGATGCTTCCCTTTTTCAATGCTTTATCAGTAATTTGTAAAGGAATTCATTAACATACATATATTCAGTTTATGGTCTAAATAAAACAATAATACAAAATATTCACTTTCCCAACCATATCAAACCAACAAACAGCATAATCTCAACTTAGAACAACTTAACTCACCCCTGCTTATCCACTGGGCTAACCACCTAGACAGCTGCACAGCCCTTTTAGGAAACATATGGAAGAACTTGGCCTTCACAGTGCCCTTTGACAGCTTGGTCACTCCATCAATAAGATCCCTGTGAGTAGTACCAGCTACAGAGCGGGAGAGCAGGTAGTCTACGACCGGCGCAGTCTCTGCTCGTAACCTGGTTTTGATACTCGCCTGCACTTCCTCCACTGTACAGGGGTAGTCTAAGGCAAGCTGTAAAAATGAAAATTACAAATAATCAATTCCCGGAAAAAGAAAAGAGATAAAGATTATTTAAGAACTTATCCCCTTAGACCTACAGATACAACAAGGGTCTAATTTAAGAAAATCAAACAAATCTTGGTTTTTAATTCACTTTTAGGGATGCAATGTCATACCATCAAAATTAGTCCTTTCACAAGTTATAGCTTTTAGAGTTTGTAGACTAACTGGATGCTTTTGTGGGAATCCTGGCTACAAAATACACTAAGGGTTCATATCATCTTATAAACATCTGTATCAAAACCACAATCTAGGACTAGCAGGATGCGCATACATGATATATGCAACCATGTTTACATATGCCGTACATGATATGTGCCACCATGTTTACATATGCCCTAGAGTTTAGACCATTTAGAATTTTACTCAATTTCACATGCAAGAAAGTACACATTTCACTCCCAGATGTCAAATACACACAACACAATGGAGTATCAAAATTGAAAAAAAAAAAAAAAAAAAAAGTATATATTTTAACAGCTTGCCTAAAATTTGACTGACAACTGTCTGGGATGAGACTATGTATATGGCAACTAATGAAATGAAAATTAGTCTGCTGGATCTGGTGCCATGGGGCCTGCATGTGGAACAAAATCTGGGCAATATGTTTAAAGTGACCACTCTCATAGGTGTGTGGCTTATAGGCCCAGCCCACATGAACACTCACGTGCAATATCAACACTCCCTGCCTCTTATTTGCAATGTTATGATCACTTTTTCTGCAATTCAATTTGTCTGCAACTATGTGGGATAACAATAACAATGAGCAACATTGTGTTATTTATACAATTTTTCAATAATTTCATATTCAATTTTCTGACACACCCTGTGCCACTGGTCACAGGAATATGATCCTGAGCATGGAAATAATGTCCTAACTGGAGCTATCACTCCTCAAGCAATGGCCCAGAGATGGTATATTTTACCTTCAATGGAAATAATGCAATAGGGGCTATTTCTATATACCAACTTACTCTTAACTCTTCCTCCAAGATGCACTCATGACAAGCCCAGCTCCCAGCTGAAATTTTCAAGATGTATAGTTGTGGACATTTCTAACTGGTACACCCCTATGGTGTGGACTGAATTTTTTTCTGGTTACATGCTTAGTATCCAGTGTTTTGTAAATGGAATGCTCTTATTTGTATAGCAGTCCGTGATTGGCAAATAGTATTTTGCAATTATACTCAGTGGCAACTAGTATCAGAAATGCATATTGAAAAGTTTGGAAACATTACAAAGTTTTGCCCAATACCAACATTAATGCATGAAATATGTGGTGTTTTCCTTAAAAAGGAACAATTGGAAATGGTATAAATGGAACCATTAGCACAATCAGTATAGCCAAACATTGATGATAACATTTAATCTCAAATTATTCTTAAATGAAAAAAAAATGTGCATGTAAAAATATACGTGTTTTGGTAAAGGTAAAACAAATTATTTTGGGAAGGTGAAATATGAATCACATGTTATATTACCTGCAAATGTAAATCGAAAGATTCATTGTTTTTGCGAGGCTTCCTTACAGATTTTATGAATGGCAAATTAGCCAATTGCTTGATGGGTTGTTCATGTACAGTCAAGTCACTTGAAGTGACTTAAAATTTGCAGAGAAATTTGTTCAGAATTTTATGACAGGTCATCAGAGATAGCGTTAAGGGGGACTTTTTATTAACCCAATGCCGATGAGAAAATCTTGAATTCACTTTAGTGTTGTTTTGTTAAATGTTTCTGTACAGACATGTTAATAATTGTTTTAACTCACAACGCAGTCACACACAGATCACGGTGACAACACTCACCTCACTCCCCCACCTCATTCCCAGCCTAACCATTCTTTACTTGATGTATATTGTTGTGTTATTTGTGTTTTTCAGACTATTGTATTATTGTTGTCTTCAGATTGCAAGTTTAGTGTGTATTTTTTTTTCCATAGAGCAAATAACCACACTTCAATTTATCCAATCATTGTAATGTTTTGCTCTTCCTGCATATATTTATGTTTATTTTTGCGAATTTACAATTATCGTTCCTTCACTTTAAATGCTATGCGTTTTCACTTTCATTCTGTGAATTCATACATATAGTTGTGTTCTTTGTTCTTATGAAAATCACTTTCTTTTTACTTGCTGTGCACATAGTTCCTTTATTCACACATACATGTTGATGACTTGCTTTACTCACCTATTCACCGCTCTACACGGAATTCACTCTAGGATTATGAATTGTACTAAGTACCATATGTTTTATAATTGATTCTAACTCATTTAATGACGTCTACTTCGATATTAGATATCTTGCCCTTGGTAATGCTAGAATTTATGCTTCTTTAGTTTTATGGTATTGGTGAGTATTTAACCCACTAACGCCGGTATATTTTGAAGCCGAAAATAAAAGTTTCCAGGCGGCTACAAAATCAGCACGTGGGGCTGGCCTGGACTCAGCTGCAGCCCGCCGCTGAGTCGGAGTCTGAGCCCCGATACAGCGTCACATTGGCGGGACGCCCAGAAATATCTTTTGTCTGGGTGTCTCATATGTGAGACACCCGGAAGTGGGTTAACACATAATTACTTGATAAAGTTGAATCTATTGCAATAGGGGTAATGCACTGCAGACACCATGCTTTATATAGGCTTACATAGTTATCATCACCGCAACTTAGTTTTAGGCTGACATGTTACTACGAAGAAATCGCGCCCAGACGCTCGTTGAATCTCCTACGAAGGAATCACGCCCGCCGTACGTTTGTTTACTCACACTTATGCTATTTCCAACACCGAGACGCTCATGTTTACTTCTTGTTTAAGCCAAGCTGCCGATGACTTGTGCACCGCCGCAGCACTTGCGTTTTTTTTACAGCGCCAAGACACTCGCGTTTACTTTTAAGTTTAGGCCAAGCTACATGTGTCTGAAGCATATTGATTTACCTATTTAGCCGAAGATGTGGAATTCTTACTCACTAACTTTTCTCTCTACAATGTAATGGTACTCTTTTGAACTCACTAATCCTAACAGATCCTGTGTAATTGACACCTTCTCATGACATGATGCCTTCTCATAACAAATGTTCTTATTACTCATTTTCTGGCATCTTAGTAAGGTACTGACATGTAAATTATCCTCCTCTTCCTTAGTCCTTTTACTAGCCTGGTACACTTATATTTCAGCCCCTGAAGACAATGTGACCCTCCTTGCTACCAAATGTTGCACCTCACTGTGGACCTCTGCCACGCTGCTACCCTGACATGCGACGACCTAAGGGATCATGGAGCATCAGCAACCATCTGTAGAAGCATATTACCAACAGATGCACCATCAGTGCAAAAGACGTTGCAGATGACTCAAGGATGAGCCAATTTGTGTGGCCACACGATGTCAACAACACGCTTCCGCCTAAGGTCGAAACGGAAGCTGTGCCTTCCTGTCCCGGTCCAGAGGAAACAGCTGATCACACCTACCATGCCTAAGACTTTACTTGCCCATTACATTCTCCCCTTTCACCCTCTGTCACAGCCGGAAGTACTGACACCAGAAAAATCAAAAGCAGGCACCTGCCAGCATGACAGCAGTCGCAGAATATAAGGATGTCTCATCAGGCAGAAGAACAGCAGCAGTCACAGGACAGAAGGCAGCACGCCTTCCGCCCTCTGCACCCGGGGCACGGGGTCACTTTCGGAGGTCAGTCCTTACCTTCCCCAATAAACCAACAAGCCAAGAACCCTTTCATTCACCACCAACCTCCACGCCTCCCCAACACTTACATCACAGTATCCATTACCCACTCTCACACACACACACACTCACTCACTAACACACTCACTCACACACACAACACACACACACCACACACACACACACACACACACATACACACACACACACACACACACGCACATACCAGTCCACACACAAAAAATATATTTAGCCATAGGTACAACACAATACTCATGGCATGACCATACATGCCGCCCCGTGTAAGGATTGGTGCACCATGGGATGTGTGCACATGCCACCCTGAATTCAGTCCACTCATGCCATGTCCTAAATATACATATTACCCCATGATTGGGGGCTAGTACAGTTACTGTAACCCACATTATCAATAATTATAGCAAATCACAATAAAATGTACTGTATTTTGTTTTCATTATTATCCTTAATTATATTCTTCATGATAATTCTGAGAAGCACTATATGGATGGGATTGTGATGAAAAATGTTATCTTCATAACACCAAACACAACTCTGTTTATATATAGTGGTCCCATAAAATCACTATTGTTAGTGGAGACAAAATCACACCTGTAAAATGACTCATATCAGTGATCTGCTGGCTAATTTGGGCTTGATTACATACCATACTGCACTGCTTGTGAGCATTTCCACTTATTATTCGGATCATTTACTGCTAAATGTAACAGACACTATTTTTTTCTATCTGGTCATGGTAAACTGTCTCTAGGGATCTGAAACAACTACTTTTTTGAGGTTTAGTAGGTTACCTAACACACTTCAGTATGACTTATTATACCTTCAATTGGGTATACTGATACCCACTCTACCCATCCTCCCAATCTTTTCATAGAGGTTAATATGAGCAGACATGATTATCAGTCTGCCCACATATGATGAGCCTGCTGATCATGCCTGGTCACGTGGACAAGCCTCAACACAATGGTGTCCATTAATCACACCCTCTATTGTTTTTTTCTTAAGGGAAATTTGTTAGCACATACATAGCTCCACAAGTGCTCAAGCCACCAAGTAGGCAATTAGTGAACCTTATCACTCATATTCAGAGACTTGGAACACCTTAAACTGAAAGCTGGACCAGCATTTCATGCCCGTATAACACTATGGTAAAGTATTGCGTCGGAAAGGGCAAAGGAGAGTTAAAGATTACGATGAAATAAAATGCAGAAACTAGTAGAAAGGGGAGGGTTAAGGAG